AGGTGCAGTCCTCATCCTCACTCTCCTGTCAGCCCTGGCTCAGCAGTGCCTTAGAGCTCCTCCCCCCCTCTATCACTCGCCCATCTATTCCAGGTTCTGAGACTTATTACCTAGACTAATATATAATAATGACTTAAAATTATTTTGAATTCTCCAGGTGGCCTCACACACGTTTAGAAATAGCATCTTCTGAACTGTTACCAATACAGGAAAAGATCCCCAAGTGATATAAGCTCACAGTACGTAAAAAGACACGACAAATTCCACTGTTTTTAAGAAGAAATGAGAATACATTAACTTTGGTGTGCCTCGGTCCCAGCAGTTGCTTGAGTACTCAACAATACAAGTTTTGTTAAATGGATGAATGGATGGATGGATGGATGGATGGATGGATGGATAAATGAGTGAATGAACAAGACAATTCATGAAGAAACAAACTGCAACTTCCAATCCAGTCTTTATGCATTAAGCTGCCCGAGTTATGGGCCTTCTTAACCACAGGCCAGAAAGCTGTATTCCCAGACCACAGAGAGATACCTGGGGCCCTGGTCCTCTTCAAGTCACCATGTGCCTCAGCTTTGGGCCAGGGGCAACGGTCTCATTACACTCCTCCTAAGCCCACCTCACATGCTCCAAGGGGAGGAAGGAATGTGCATTCAAGGAGCTACAGACCACGAAGCCCATAAAACTGCGAGGGTGGGAACATGAGTGTTGAAGAAGGAGCTTGGGGCCAGAGCCAGTACCCACCACCCAGTGGGTCACAGGTCCTCTCTGAACCTCAGTTTCTTCATCTATAAAATAACAAGGTCTCATAGCGGGGATTATGAGGACTGGACGAATAATGTACACAAATTAACTTTCACACCATGAACTCCCACAGCTTCCAGGCCTGAGAATACTAAAGGTTAAAAGTTCAGAGGTGCAGGCAGAATGTGGCGGCCCAGGTGCCTGGATAGGCAGGAACCGAGAAGGAACCTGCCCTGTGCTTGGCGTAGTCAAATGGGAGAATTTAGAAGAAGACATGGACTCAAACCCAGTCAGCCCAGCGGAGTCGTGCGGTGTTCCTGCGCGCTCTGACGGTGCCCCATCTCTTAGCATCTTAGCAAAGGTCAGCGACAGAGGCTTTTCACTGAGCCAGCTGTGTGACACCTCAGCACCCCGCCCTCCTTCCGCTCCAGTCACACACCGAGAGCTGAGAAGCCGTGCAGCCGGAGCCCGAGCGCTGTGCCGCACTCCGGCACCTGTCACTCCTCCTGTGCACTGGAGGAAAATGGGAGGTGACGCCTGCTGCTGAGGTGGGAAGTCAGAGCTGCGAGCAGGGACAGCTGTGCGGGTGGTGTCAGGCAGCCGGGAGGGGGGCCGCACGGGGCAGGGGTGAATGCACCAGCCCTGGGTCACAAGGCACAATGGCAACCCCTGGACCTGCTGTCAAGAGGCAGGTGGTCTTGGGCTGCGCACTTCACCTCTCCGAGCACCAGGTGACTCGATTCCCGGGCCTGCTCTGCCACCTCCCCGGGTTGGTATCACAACGCACTTCACGCATCTCAGACCCCAACGGCTGTACGATGCCCCATGATTTTATGTACCACGAAGGAAGAAAGAGAAATGCCGTCAGGTAAACTCCATCATGCCATCACTGTGCGACAGGCTGGTTTCAGAGATGCTGCAGCACGAGAAACGTGCGCCTGAGAGGCACTGTGGTGGACAGCAGCACCGTGTACACTAAGACCGGATCCGATCACCCGGCCCCGTGGGATAGAACCGCGGCCTCAGTGCCCATCTCTAGATGCCAAGCCCTTCCCCTGAAGCACGTTCACATGTGAGTTAAGGAGACAGACGTCATTAAGTGCAGGAAGAACGGGGCGAAGTACCACTGGGTCCGGTGGACAGCAGGGGCCTTTCAGCAACGTCTGAAGAGCCACTAAGAATGAGATGCGAGGTCTGGGTGGAGAGGGAACAGAGGGGACAAGTGACTTAGCCCCAGGCGTGCAGGTGAGGACACAGAGGACCTTCTTGGCCAGGCTAACGGAAGGACCCTGCTGACCCCCCAAATCTGCTCCTCCGGCCACACAGCAACCCTTATTCAAAGGCAGTGCTGGGCTCCCGCCTGTCTGCCCTCCGCCTTGCCTCACACAGCCTAGTCCCAGACCCTGTGCGGAAAACAGGCTCGCCTTTAGAAGCACTTCAACCTGTCACAGTGCCTCTTAAAAGGTGACATCCAAACCACGTACGTTGGAGCATCTGGAATAATTATCTGTAATACCAATCTAAGTGTCAAATAACTGCAAAAATGGAGAAATATGCTGTGTCTATCCACTTAACAAAATGGTGATCACTCAGTACAGATTTTAATGACAATAAGGAGTAATATATAAGATGCTCTTACTATATTGAGAACAGGCAGCAAAAGTGCAAGCATTGAAAAGGGAGCTTGCTTAGCATTCAAGCGCCGGAAGGAAATATCACAAAACAATCAGGAATTTTTTCTTAAACGGTGAATTGTTTTTTCCTTCTTTTGACTTTTCTGTATTTTCTTTAATGAACATGTAACAGTTTAAAATACAAGTAAATAGATGAGATGGGAAATTCCACATGGCATCTGACACATGCTTCTTGGGGAGACCAATACGTATAATGCATACATGTCTCAGTGCTTTTCTTCTAGACAGAACCACTCTTCTTAGTAACTGAGAGTCTCATCTATGCCTTTCACTTAGATAGCATATATTATTGTTTTAGGGACATTAATCACCCAGCTATTATCAAAAAGTAAAAAAAAAAAAAATAAGTGTTGGTGAGGTCATGGAGAAAGGGGGACCCTTGTGCAATATGTGGGTGGAAATGGAAATTAGTGCAGCCCCTGTGGGAAACAGTATGGAGGCTCCTCACTGAATAGAACTACCATATGACCAGCAACTCCACTTCTGAGTACATATCTGAGGACAATAAGATCACTGTCTTAAAAAGACCCATCTGCACTCTCACATTCATTTCAGCATTATGCACAGTAACCAAGATGCTGGAATAGTCTAGGTGTCTGTGAACAGAAGAGCGGATAAAGAATGAGGTGTGTGTGTGTGTGTGTGTGTGTGTACAGTACACACACCATGGAATATTATTCAGCCCTAAAAAAAGAAGGAAGTCCTGCCATTGGTGACAACATGGATAAACCCGGAGGACATTATACTAAGAAATAAGCCAGACACAGAAAGACAAAGTCCAATACGATCTCACTTGTATGTAAAGTTGAAAAAAAAAAACAATCAAACTTAGAGTACCAGAGAAAAGAATGGTGGTTTAGCAGGGGCTGGAGCGTGGGAAAAGGGGAGATACCGATTAAAGGGTGCAAACTTTCACCTATAGATGAGTACTTTCTGGAGATCTCGTGTACAGCATGGTGACATAGTTAATAATCATGTATTTTATACTTGAGATTTGCCAAGAGAGCGATATCAAGTGTTCTCACCCCCACCCCCCCACCCCCACACACACAAAAGGTAACGAGGTAAGGAGATGGATATGTTAATTAGTTGGATTGTGGTAATCATTTCACAGTGCATTCGTATATCAAAACATCACATGGCACATCTTAACTATATACAATTTTTGTTTGTCAATCACATTCCCACAAAGCTGGAAGAACTAAATAATAAAGCATCGCCCCAGAACGCTGCATTTTCTATGACCACGTACTTCTGAAACACTATGTATAAATTGTATCTTTATACACCAATGTATCTGAAATGCAGCAGAGTTTTCTTTTAGAAAAATAACCTTCAGAAAATCCTTTTGTAAGGCAACAGGTGTTTTCCCAACATAAATAATCATCTCTGTCTACGTATCTGTCCCCTGTATTGAGCTGGCTGCCTACAAGCTTCCATTTGTAAATTCCAGTCCATTGCACCTTCAACCTGATCATTTTATCGCAATTGGTGTGAAGGTTAAAAATAGGAGTATTATGTCTATTCTGGGGGGAAATGGATACATGCAAACATTTCCAAGGTCTTACCTCTCTCAGCTTTGTCCCCCACCCCCCATGCCCCTGGCTATTCCCTGGAAGAAATTTCTACTCTGCTCCCCTCCCCTTTTGGTTTATCATAATGGGGGCTCCTATTTCTCCCCTCCACATTTCTACTCCATCTTCTTCTTTCCCTCACAGGTGTGAACTACTGTCTGCTAGATCCTGGATAAGAGGACTTCCATGCCCATCTCTAGCTGCCACACCCGCAGAGGACATGGCTCCCCCAAGGGCCAGGCTTGCCCCACCCCTTCAGGCACCAAGAACCACCTGCCACAAAGACCAACAGGAAACCACAGAAGCCAAATGAGGCACAGCCCTCACCCCCCAACCCAAGCCAATCACCTAAGCTGCCAATGGGGTTGGATTGGCCCCAGGGCAGGCATGCTCTATTCATTTCCCACAGGAAAGATGATCTGTCAGATACTGAAATAAATGTGCCGCCCATGACTCTGGGTCAGCTACAGTGTGGCAGTGCTGTATTAATTTCCAAAGGAATGATTTATCAAACATTAGTGGGACTCCATGTTATGCCTCCTCCTGTTGAAAAATCTGCAAATCATAAAAAACTGTCATCAGAACATGCGTCTCATTGATCCGTTCGGAAGATATAGTTGGGGTCTTCTCCAACCTCTGAAAGAAAACTGCACCTGGTGCATCTTTTGGCGCATCTTTTGGGGGTGCCCCTCAGGCAAGACCAGCCGGGACATGTGCCCAGCACTAGCCGAGCACAGGTGGGAAGTCAGAAGCAGCAGCAGCCTGACCTTGACTCCATGGCTCCACGGACTGCCACCTGCACCTGCACAGAGGACACGCACTCCCCTGCAGGTGGTCGTCTGTGGCCCAGACCCATGGGAGAATGTTATCCTCAAACTTCTCCCTCTGCACTTCTTGTCCCACCCACCCTGACCCCGGGGTTCGCTGCATCAGCCACTGCAGGACACCGCAGCCCCCAACACCAAGAAGAGACCAGAGGACTCACCCGCTGAGAACCACGATGAAGTCCATGACGTTCCAGCCGTTGCGGAGGTATGAGCCCTTGTGGAAGATGAACCCCAGGGCCACGATCTTGATCCCAGCTTCAAAGCAAAAGATTCCAATGAAATAGGGTTCCGTCTTCTCCTGTGGGGTGAGGAGCAGAGATGCCGGTCAGCGGAGGGCTGTGCTTTGAGAGAAGAGGGAGGCAGGTGAAGGTACGCCCAGGCCTCCTCTCCTCTCTCCTATGGGACACCTGCACAGGTGGGAAGCGAGGGGGCTGGAGGACAGGGGCTGTGAGCGTCCTTCGTCCCCTCCCCTTGACCTCCCTTGCTCACGTCACTTCACAAGTCCCTTAGGAAGGGAAGGAAGGGCCTGGATCCTGTCCCTGCCCTTTCTTCTTGTCTGTCCACCGTGGGGTGTGCACACGGCGTCTGCAATGCACTCAGAACTTGCTGGGAGCAGGAGTCTGAAAGGTCAGTCATTTTGCCCTAATGCATCCCAATGGGGTTCCTCCTAGCCCTGGAGGTCAGAGAGGAGGGAAAGGGCCGGGTGATGGAGCAAAGGAGAAGGGAACCGGAGAGGAGGAGGGGGAAAGAGAGGCGAGAAGACGCAGGCACATACCAGTCTGCGGGACATCGGGGTCTTGTCATCCTCAGGAAGATGCTGCTCCAGGGCCAGGACGATGCAGTTGGCGATGATGGTGGCCAGGATCATGTACTCAAACGGCGTGGGAAGGAGGAGTTAAGGAGCAGACTCACCAAAGAGAGAGCGGCACAGCCTCCTCGGTGGCTGTGCACATAAACACACTAACCTGGCCGACCCCCAGGGTGTCGGTGCCGCCTGCGTGCTCCACCCTAGCGCACTGGACGGCGGGTGGTCCTTAGCCCAGGAAACTAGAACCATTTCTGATCGGGTGCTGAACACAAAGCATCTTCTCCAAGAAAAAAAAGTGGAGCCAATAAAATAATACAGTTGGACCTAAGGTGCTCTCTAGTTCCGTAGTGGATTCGAGAACACATCCCAGAACTAGAACTGAACACGAAAGGAAAGAGGAAGAGTCACTGACGCCATGCAGACCCCTTTTCTTCCCACTCTGCACACCGCTGGCCTGTGTGGTGCCTGGGCGAGGACACAGCTGTGGCTGCTGCTGCCTCTGGGAGTCACAATGGACCCTCCTCTAGGACCTCTGTGCGCCTGAGTAGGAGGGCTCTTGGAAGAGGAACTCCCTCCATGTGAGCTCTCCTCTGTGTTAATAGCCAATTCAGAAGCACATGTAAAGGGGCCAGGAGAAGCCCCCCCCCCCCTTATTCTCCCCACAGAAAACAGACAGATCATGAGTCTGAATCCAGGACAGCAAAGCCGGGGCCTCGAGGAACACAACGACCACTGAATGGTCAGCGGAGTTTTTCTAAAGACAGGTGAGGGGGCTGCCTGGGCGTTCTAGAAAAAGCAGCACTGTGAGTCTGGTGCCAGCATCCTGACTCCCGCAGAAAAGGTCGTGCCACAAGCCCAAGGGGAGCAGAGACAGTTAGCAAAGCGAGAGCGAGGGATCAGCGGCTCCGAGTTGAGTCACTCTGCATGCTGGATTTTATTGTTGTGACAAACACAGGCCAGCTGTTGCCACTGGTCTTGCCGAGCAACCTACGCTCTGGCAGATTCTGAAATCCCGGGCAGGAGAGAGGAGTCGTCGATCTGGCAAAGTGGAGGGAAGGGAAGGGACTGCTCTCCTTGTCCCCTGACACGTCCAAGGTGGCTATGTAAGGGGTAGGGCCCAGAGCCCTTTCTGGGGAGCCAGAAGGAGGGCCAATCCTAACGTGATGCCTCCCTGTCCCGGCCATGACCTCGGTGCCAATGAACATCAACGGCAATGAGCACTCAGGGTGTTGACAAAATGTGGGGCTCAGCTGGCTGCTCACCACGGCTGGCGGCTGGCGAGGCCCCATGCAAACTGGGAAAGCTGCTCCACACGAGCAAGGAGCCCAGGCCAGGGGCTGGGAAATGGGACAGGGAGCCTGCACGGTTTCACTCGAGCTGCAGAGGTCACGGGCTCTCACTGGTCTGACTGAAGTCCCCTGAAAACCTTAAAGTGATAACCAGAGACTTACACGTCAAGGAGCTCTTAGTTGCTGACTTGTAGGCGAGACGGGTCCTGGCACCTGCCCACCTCCAAGGCCTCCACCCAGCAGGGCCCGCCTGGATTGCTGCGGCTCCACTGCGGCCTCCACTCCTCGCTCCCACTCACACACCTGCATCTTCCTAGTCAGATGAGATGAGTGTACAGCTCCCTGCTAGGATCTTTCAACTCACCTAGCTGCAAGCCCAATGCAGATGCATGAGGCTCGGCGGGAAACATGGGGCTAGACTCAGGAAGGTGTGGCATCACCACTGCAGGTGCTCAGGGCGCTCAGGGCAGGAGGACGGCTGTGGGTCCCGCTGCTCCTGCCAGGCGCCCTGTGACTGGCCAGGTGTCGGGATGGCTGAGAATTCAAGAGGTCTCAATGAATGGCGCTACCTAAGGCCCGGAGGCTAGAATCTAAGGGTGAGAGTTTGGTAATTTCAGAGTTTCTGACAAGACCTCATTTCCGTGTCCCGTCCCCATTCCCACAATCCTCTCTCTCTGTCTATGGTCTGATATCTAAAGACCCATTCAGAGCAGCGATTCTTTGGCTAACAATTTTGAAAACTGTCCAAATACACATACCCTTGAGCCCTCCCTTTAGGTCTCATAGATCATCTACAGCTCAGGATAAATTCATGTCTGGGGCAATTAAAAGGTGAGATAGGGATGCAGAAGGAAAGATCAGGCTCTGGACGTGGCATGTGTCTGTGGACTCGATGAAAGGACAGCGAAGGAGAAATCTTAGGTGAGGACAGCAGGAGAGGACATCAGATTCTGGCTATCCCACCCCTCTCCCTGACAGCCCTTCCTCCATCCTCCTGTCCACTTCTCTTTCTGAAAAAAGCACAGAGAGAGGGCACTTGGTGCTTTTGCTTCCTCCTACAATGGCTTTTCTCCTTCTCTCCGGTCATATGTCAAGATCAAGCTCAAATATTACCTTATCTGTGAAGGTTTCTCCCTCTGCCCATAGCTCTTTGATTGTGCAATTTCATTATTTCTCCTCATATTTATCTACCCCCCCCCAAAAAAAAACATAAAAAACACACAACAACTATCTCTTGAAACAGGGACAGTGTTCTGGCCATCTCTCCATTGTCAGTGCTTACAGGACTCCTGGTACACAGTAGGAGCTCACTCAATGATAAAGGCAGACATAAATGAATGGGAGCAGCAAACACTGTTGAGGAGCCATCACAAGTCAGGGTTGTAGTTGCTCATGGCTCAGGCCAGGGTTTCCTGCTCAACCCCACCCCTGGGACTGACTCAGGGGCACCACTCCCCTCTCTCCTGCTGGTAGAACCTCAAGCCGGATGGAACCTCTACTACATTTCCAAAGGGAAGAGCCTGGTCTCAAATAATGGCCCACAGGTCACGTGAATGCACCTCACAGGCTAAAGGTGTGGCTTGGGAAGATCAAAGGAAGCTCCAAGTTGCCAAGGCCTCAAAGAACCGGCCCTTCCTGGGACAGGTGGATGGAAAGCTGTCTGGGACTCTGACTTGTTCTGCCCAGGGGTTCAGCGATTCCCATCCCATTCGGCGCCTGACACTGAATACATTTTGGACAATCTCTCTCCCTGGTGTCCGCAGTGATTTGAGGTTTGAAATCTTGAACAAACAGAGCTAACGAAGCAACGAGGTGTGGAAGCCTTAGGACAGGGGCTTTGCCTATCTTATTCACCTCTGTGCCACTGGGGACCAGCACACAGGGGGCACTCAGGAACAGCACAGGAAAACCAGAGCCTGAGGTATGTCCACAAAAGGTGCCCTGCACGTTCTCCACACTTTTACCCATTTGAACACACACACACACACACACACACACACAATCTATGTTAAAAAAAAAATTTTAAAAGACAAAGGAAAAAGATCTGTCTTGCTAGAAGGAGAATGAGTTTTCTTGGGGTAGTGGAGTTACTTTCACTTTCTTCTTTACTCCTTTATGCATTGTCTGCGTGTTAAAATGAGCATGCATTAATTTCTGATTATAAAATCACTTAGAGTGATATGTATTCTGAAAAAGAAAACAATGAATACAAAAACCCACCCCACCCTGAGGGTCATGGAAATCAGTACAGGATTCCTCAGAGGATCAAACACGGTAGAACAAAGGGACCAGACCAATGAGGGAATGGCCTTGAAAGTACTTTGAAACTTGCAAAAATACCTCCTCTCCCTTATCTGTCTCTGCTGCTCCCGCCTCATTTCATAAACTTTCCTGGCAACCTCCCCCCAACACCCCTTCACTCCTCTCTCCCCCTGAGCCTGCTAATGAGGACCTGTGTTGCTCCAACTTTCTTTCCTGTCTAGCAGCTCTAAGACAATCATTAGGGAAATGATAAAAATAGGTTCACTTATTGATTTATCTCCTTTACCCAAAGCTCCTTCCTTCCAATGGTTGACTTGTTTCCTTAGCAACACAGCTAATTTGAGCAGCCCTACTTGGCCTGCACACCTGCCATTTGTTCATTTCCTTCCTGAAGCTCAGAAAGCTGGGGAGAGGGGAGGGCTGCCCCTCAGACTACAGTGGTGGTAGTGGTCCTGCTTGTCAACAGAGCTGAGCCTTCCCTCTGCCTGGCCCAGCAGAGCCTTCCTATCCCCACCTCTCAGGGACCGGACTGGGAAGAACTTAGCCTCAAGCAGCAAACCCGGGTGCCCCGGGGGGAACATGGAACACGCAGCCCTAAACCCCCTGGGTCTCCTGTGCTCCCAGCTGCCAGCTCTCAGACTGTGGCATCAGAACACCACGGAGAATGAACACGCTCAGAGGGGCTGAGGGCCACCAGGGACGCAGGCAGACAGAAAGCTGTGCTCTCTCCCGGACTCCAGGCCTAACGGAGATGGCACTTTTGTGGGGAGCAGCCTGTGGCCACTCAGGCATTGTCTGCAAACTCCTGGGGAGTCTAGAGTAGCCCACAGTCTCAGGGGAAGCATGCCTCAGTCTCCTGTACCCACATCTGCCCCTCGAAGGATGTCTGTCTCCTTCCACTCCCTTCCATCCCAGCCCCCTGCGTCTAGATGTCTAATGCTAAGAGCCTAAGAGTCTCAGAAGGCGGCCCAGGTGCTTTTGTGCGTATCTTTCCGCCCTTCCCTCACCTGCACATAAATATCATTCTTACAAGTGGGATGTTGACTGGAAGACTGTTACAGGGAAGGGCCCTGTCTAGTGTGCTACTCCCACAAGCACTCCTCCTAAGAGAACATCTTAAATATGAACGGTAGTGAGAGGCAGCCCTCCAAGGCTGGCATGCCACTGTTCTCCTGTGAGGAGACTCGGCATTTCCCCGAGACCTGCCATGCAGTGGGGAGAATGAGGCTTGGCAATGGAACACCGGAGCCAGGGTTCTCACTGCAAAAACCGCCCAACATGGTCCTCAGGTCAGGGAAAGCCCCCGGCCACTCCCACAGAGCCAAACAAGAAACACAAACGGATCAGATGAGGAAGGCTTTTGGGAAACTGTAAGGTGCTACACAAATGCACGTGTTTTATCATCCGACTGAATCAATCTTTAAGTGTCTGCTATGGCTGACAGAGCTTTGGGGTACGCATCTGTCTGTGGTCGCAGCCTCTGGGAGCGGCCTGGCTGGCTGCAGTGGGGGCGGACGCTCAA